CACACACACACACACACACACACACACACACACACACACACACACACACACACACACACACACACACACACACACACACACATTCTTTGTCAGTTTTTCGCTCGGCTTGTTCCGATCAGCAATGGTGTGTGTGTTAAAGTCGGTTCACTACTGGGGGCCAAGCGTTGTGCCTTACGGTTTTGTGCGTGTACAAATACACGCACTAACCAACCGTCCCCTGTGGTGTCTTCACCTCCCCGATGGTGTGTAGATGCCGACTGTTTGGCAGCTGTTCGCTGGGCTTCTTCCAATCAGCAGTGGTAAATGTGTTCAAGTCAGTTCACTAGTGGGGGCCAAGTGTTGTGCCTTACGGTTTTGTGTGTGTACAAATGACACTCACTAGTGAACCGTCCCCAATGGTGTCTTCACGTCCCCGATGGTGCGTTCATGCCGACTATTTGTCAACTGTTCGCTCGGCTTGTTCCGATCAGCAGTGGTGTGTGTGTCAAAGTCGCTTCACTACTGGGGGCCAAGTGTTGTGCCTTACGGTTTTGTGTGTGTACAAACGACACGCACTAACCAACCGTCCCCTGTGGTGTCTCCACGTCCTCGATTGTGCGTAGATGCCGATTGTTTAGCAGTTGTTCGCTGGGCTTCTTCCGATCAGCAGCGGTCTATGTGTTAAAGTCGGTTCACTAGTGGGGGCCAAGTGTTGTGCCTTCGGTTTTTTGTGTGTACAAATGACACCCACTAGTGAACCGTCCCCAATGGTGTCTTCACGTCCCCGATGGTGTGTAGATGCCGACTGTTTGGTAGCTGTTCGCTGGGCTTGTTCCAATCAGCAGTGGTCTACGTGTTAAAGTCGGTTCACTAGTGGAGGCCACGTGTTGTGTCTTACACCCACTAGTGATCCGTCCCCAATGGTGTCTTCACGTCCCCGATGTTGAGTAGATGCCGGCTGTTTTGTAGTTGTTCGCTGGACTTGTTCCGATCAGCAGTGGTCTATGTGTTAAAGTCGGTTCACTAGTGGGGGCCAAGTGTTGTGCCTTATGGTTTTGTGTGTGTACAAATGACACCCACTAGTGAACCGTCCCTAATGGTGTCACCACGTCCCCGATGGTGCGTAGATGCCGACTGTTTGGTAGCTGTTCGCTGGACTTGTTCCGATCAGCAGTGGTCTATGTGTTAAAGTCGGTTCACTAGTGGGGGTAGAGTGTTGTGCCTTACGGTTTTGTGTGTGTACAAATGACACCCACTACTGAACCGTCCCCAATGGTGTCACCATGTCCCCGATGGTGCGTAGATGCCGACTGTTTGGTGGCTGTTCGCTGGGCTTATTCCAATCAGCAGTGGTCTACGTGTTAAAGTCGGTTCACTAGTGGGGGCGAAGTGTTGTGCCTTACGGTTTTGTGTGTGTACAAATGACACCCACTACTGAACCGTCCCCAATGGTGTCACCATGTCCCCGATGGTGTCTTCACGTCCCCGATGGTGTGTTCACCTTCACGTCAGCTGCTGTTTATTTCCAGCTATGCATTCGCCACACAGCGTCGTGTTACATCCCCGGAATTCAGTATGGTACTGAGGGTCATTTCATCTCTCTCTCTCTCTCTCTCTCTCTCTCTCTCTC